TTTAGTTTTTTTTCATCGTTTGCTTAAACCTTTTGAAGCAAGCCAACTTCACTGCTCACCAGCAGTCGCGGTTGTCGGCCAGTGGAGCTAACTCGGTTTTCCGGGCTGATCGTTCTGTTGCATTGGGGGTAATGACATGGCCTTTATGGCACCCACTTCTCAGATCCAACCCGCCCCCTTTGGAGCTTGGTACGCATGGGGCTTACGCGTCGGATCGCGTGTGGCAGACGTAGACGGGGACTCGTCGACAGCGTTTGCACGACATTGTCGTTTCTGTTTTGCCGTTGTAATATAGCCAATGGGAAAACAGGGCATACGCTAGATACCTAGCTAATGTGCTTCTCTACTAAGAAATTTGCTCTTACATCTTCTGTGCACTCTCCCCTGGGTAGTCATGCACCTCACTGCTTCCATCGTTCGAACCGTCTTATCCTTTAAGATGTTTCTAATCGAGAATCTGCAATCAACACGAACTTTTTGCTTCCTCGCTGAACCTTTTTTTTAACCCAGAACTATGAAATTGCTGGTAGAATTTTGAATTTTCTACTCTGTAATCTGATAAAATCGGCTTCAGTGCATTGTGAACGTGGCCTCTTACTGTGCCATTGGCCTGCAGTGGCCAGTGGTGACTGTTTATTCGATCCTGTCCCAACATAATCTGTGTTGTGGGTTGTCAATCGCGATCCCAACCTTAACTCCTAGCCTTTTGAAGACCTTACTGTCCTCTATCTTAAGCTTCATAAAATTATAGCAATGGCTTTGCATGAATTGCAAGCCAGTTGAAAAATGCATAGGTCTGGGTCCTTGTCCATCGCCCAGATAGTAATGCTTGAATTCAAAATAGTTGGATGGAGAACAAAATTACTACCGTTTAGATTTCGGAAGTTATTGTCTAGTTTTGTTTCCTTACATGTCCAGATGCTTTAGTGTCGGAGTTTTATGTAGTTTTTACTATTCCATAAATCATCTATATCACTAGCTTATGTAGAAGTGTTGATCAACAGCCGATAAGTGAAAAAAGTGTACGAACAAATTTAGGAGATTCGGAATGGTGTACCCTGAACTCTAGGCCAGCGTGTCTATGTCCCGGCGGCCGCTCTTGGAGACGTTCACATTATCTGACAATGACTTTAGTTAAAGTCTGAGCCCCGGACTCCGGCTCAGTTTCAAGTATTCTCAGACTAGCTGAGGGACCTGGCTTACAACAATAACGAGGCCCGAAATGTCCCTTCCGGTCCATGTTTTTGTCCGTACACTGTTTTTTGTCAACAAAGGCATCTACCTTAGGGCATATCTTCACTGCTGAGGTGGGTATTTTCTTCCTAGTTGTGATCCTACCGGTTTACTGGCGTGCGCTGTGTATGCTTAAGCAGTAGAGGATACTGATGCGGGTGACTGACCCGTCCGTCTGGCGGAAGGTAAGCAGAAGGCTACGTATTCCCGGTGTCTCGTTTTTCGCCCCGATTTGAGCATCAGAGAAATGTGACTGCAATAGCAGTAATCGCCAGTGTCATCAGACCCTCATACGCGGGATTTCTGAGGGCTGCTTAAGAGCACTCATTTGAACCTTCCGGCAAGAAATATCTAGTACTTGAGATGGGGCAGCAGTTAGTGGGAACCATATCATACCATTCAGTGTGAAAACGCGCCCTATTAACAATTTTAGAAACCACGGAGCAAGCCGGATCTATCAATCTGGATCTGGAGTACATCGAAGAGATCTCCACAAAGCTGCCTGCCTCTAAACAGCAGGCATCGATTTCGGGTAATGTGTACATTTCAGACGTCTTTTGATGTTTTAGTCTCGATTAGTGTGGGTTTCCAAATGATGCATACATAGCTCCTGTAATCTAGAAGTCGTGTGTCTTCCGGAAGCTTGCTTTCCGTTTTTTTTCTAATTAAGGCACTGCTGTAATCTGCGCCTTGTACTCAACCAGTCAGGGTAGGATCTTTTTAAACTTGGAATGCTTGTCAATTAGATTTCTCTTCAGGAAAACCATGAACACGTTTACAGTCTAATGCCTTTTCGCCATTCAAGTATTCGTGAGAAAATATGCGTATGCATATGGTAAGCAGCCAAATCTAGCTATAAATATTGATGCAGTTCGAGTCCAAATCCCCTACCATTGCATGCAGCAATCGCCAGGGATTGGGCCGCTGTAGCGTCCATGTGGTTTAGGGTATGTATTCTGGTTTTCCAATACTATGATTATGACCCAGTCAGGAATTAACGTGCAATTTTGGATTAGCCCTCGGGGTAAATGCCATATTATAAGGAATGTCAAGTTGTTGTACTTTTGCAGTCTCTGAAGATGGATTCCTGTACGGGTCCGTAAGCTCAGACTAATACAACTGCGTCCCGATGATCACATATTCATCTTTACAGTTTTACTTCCTTGACACCTCAGAGCCTCGCCCGAATCATTAATCAGGCAGGGACAGGCGATGATAAGCAGACAACCTTTATGACGCCTCATCTTTCGACTAGCAGGCCGCGTTCGAGTCATCGATTGCCTTGCATTCATTGGACCATATTAACCCCCACTGCGCACAATATCCGCCATGCGAGCGTAGACCCGGGCATCCTGGCTTTCGCGGCCGCCACAGCAAATGTCCCGTACGCCATTATTCCGATCATTCGTGGAGATTCTGTGATCTGTAGTATAGACCAGTTTGCGATTCGACTCATCCCTAGTGGAACCCTACTCTGTAAGGCAAAGCTGGCGAAAGGGGCCTTATCTGGTGGGTAGTATTATTCGACGTAACGCATTGCCGTTCTGGTTTGTGACATTTCTTTAAAGGGAACAACTTGCCTACTTAGCCACACCTTACCATATTGATGCTAATAGTTCGTAGCCGCCTATTTATCAGATTTAAGAGCTTGCCTTCCCTTTCGCCAACTGTGAATGCTCAAGATAGCCATCTTGCTAGGCTAGAGGACAAACCGTATCCGCTTGAGCTCCCTTTTTTTCTTCAACTAACTTATCATGCTTTTAGACTGGTCCAACTCTATTTCATCTGCAGGCAGCTCCGGGTTATTTTCCGACTATCTTCTATTGGGCCTTTCCTCCCCAGTTTACCCTTTTCTTTTCCTTAACAGAGCTGGAAGTGGAATTCCTCACCGAACCACCGCCGCCCCCGCTCCTCCCGCCGCCACTTCCGACTCCGTCCGTGCTCAGAGCACCCCCGGAACAGCCTTGTACTCGGGCCATCGACACTGAGCCGGACGACTCCCTGAGGTTCTCTGTGGAAGACGTCCTCTCCCACTTGCCGAATTTCTCTTACGTACGAAAGTCCACCCTTATGTTCCCCGTTCTGGAAGTGACCGACATACCCTAGGCCTTGTCTACTCCTTGCGCACCTCCATTTCTGCGCCTGTCTTGTTTTTTTGCGCCCTATAAACGCTGTAATGCATGTCGTCTTTTTGACAGTGCATTGCCTGGCGGCCCCCACTTTCCTCTGGTCCTCCCCCAGCAGCGTCGGGACATTGCCATATGGATGCAAATGTTTGACTCGCTGTGATTTTTTTATCTCTCCCTCTCGTTTGTCAGGTATTGTTCGTCGCGAGTACTTTAGCCCCCACGACACGCACCGATATATCCTCTCCCACCTCCCCAAATGTCCGTCTTTCAGCATCCATAGGAGACAAATCCCACACCAGTGCACATCAGGCAAGCAAGCACTCAAAAGATGCAGACTGTCGTTTGTTAAATAAATGCATCCAGTCGTGAATGGCCAAACTTCCAAGCCTTGACACTTTCAGCCCAATTTCTAATGGCGATCAAAATCCGTAAGTGGCTGTGTAACTGAATTGGATTAAAGCGACCTGGCTTCCTATGCAAGTAACCGGGACGGCGGGGGGACACCGAGTTCCTTTCTGGGTCTAGAGGCTTACAACCGTGATTCCTCCCTCGTCCGCTTAAGTGAACGTCTGCGAACAAAACAATTGAGGTCCCTTACCTAGGGGGCAACAACCCATTGGTGGTGTACCGGCTACCTTGGGGAGGTGGGCTGTCGCTTGGCAGAAAGGTTGACTACCGGTCCGTCACTATAGTCGCACAGCATTTTTACAGATAGATGCTACGTCTAATGCAGTTCACCAAGCCCCCGCAGGTCCTGGTTTTTGATCGACCAAATTGCACTTTGACTTCCTGCACACGCTTAGTGTGTACGTACGTATTGAAAAACGGGCATCCCGGGAAATTTAATTAGGAAGATGACATTCTTTAGGAAACTGTAACTTTTACTGTGTAGGTTTTCGAGACGGGTCCGCCAGCTCTTTAAACTACGGGCGCGCAAAAAACAATTCTTAACTGAGTCCAACAAAGGATTCTATGATTGGTCAACGTCTGTGCCAATGCGTGTTAATTGCACTTTGTAACCTCCTTGAGATTGGTTGAGCCAGTATGAATTTGTCCTTAAAGGTTTTAAATGTGGCATCTAGATCGATATGCTGATTGATGCATTGCTTCCAGGAATTCGCGGCCATTCCTTACTGGGCAGCTAAGAAATTGTTATTGCGCACACAGTCTGAAGACGAGCTGGGGATCATTCTCGGAAATTTACACAATAAAAGTTACAGTTTCCCAAAGAATTTCGTCTTCGTAATACATACATATATATGCGTTGAGAAACCCCACTTCTCGTCTAAACAAACTTAGTTTTTACACTGAATAACATCTACGAAATTTTAATGTGCGTCAGCGATAGGTTTTTATTTGTGGCAGTTCAGCCTTGGGTGATTTTCTAGGACGGCTTGCAAGTTACTGGTTTGGTGACAAATGCACTTTGGTGTTTCGAGGTTCCGGCGTATTCTATAGCTCCACACAGGGCCGGGCCGTACCGTTGCTGATGATTCTGGAGATGGAAATTAAGGACGGAAAGTATAGCGCATACTGTATTTTTGAATTTTCAAAGAAAACAAAAGGCCACAAGAATAGAAAGGTAAGGTTGCCTCCAATTGTCACTACTTCTGGACGATCCTCAGGAAAGGAATTTGGTCAGCTTGTCCTGTTATGGGAGCCCAGTCTATCTTGAACTAAAACGGAAAGGGGAAATTCTGTGATAGTCTAGACTAAGCGCAGGATCACTCAAAAAGTATAGCCAGGCCCTTCAATAAAGGCTCCCCAATAGTTTAACACCAAACTTAAGAAGGACTGTCAGTACTTTGGGAGGAGGGGCGCGCTTTTGCCGGGGTGCCAGATTAACTTTTGTCTTTAACTGCCTGGTCTTCTTTGTATAACTGCGTTTTTCATGGTAACGCAACTGAAATGACTTTGGTTGGGCAGCACGCTTTCCTAGCATGTGCTTGGCCAACAACAGCACCAGGTCGTCAGGTCAAAAATCTGCATTCCGGAGGAAAATCTCTGGCGTTATGACTAATTAGCCTTTTGGTCCTTGCGTCGAGAAATAAGTTGTCCTAAGGGTGAAGCGACCTACCATGGCGAATGCGAATGACCTGAAATAGTGTGATTTTTCTGGCAATCGTAATGTTACAAAACAGATGGGAGAAGAATAGGACGATTGACTGCAATATACCTCGACGGGGACCGATAGCATCGCTGGCAAGAGTGCCTAGTCGGCTCTTCGCCGATGGCCGTTGGGAGATGTCTACAGACGGAACACGGGGAAGCTGAGGAGGGGCAGACGTGCGTGGATGCTTGAAGACGCCAATGTAAGACAGAGACCCTTCATTGCTGGCCGAAGTTGCGGCGTCCTGTGTTCGCTGCTGCTCCATTCCAGAGCCCAGACGAGAGAAAACAGACTCGCTGGCCTTTCAGAGGAGCATAGTAACACGGTCAAACATAGCCAAAAACCATGGTCACCAAGACAGGTGTGTTATCATAGAAAGAAGTGTCAACATCTCGAGAGTAGGATCGGTTGATATTCGAGAATAATGCCAAAGCTTATGCTTCAGTGAACACCCATTGCTAATGGTGACCTGAAACCATGCAATGATGTCTGGACGTCACCAAACAAGCGGCGAAAGACGACTTGGTGAGTGTTGGATTTTGAATGACAGGGGGTCGACCTAATCAATTTACACCCATGATATCGTCTTACTTTCAAAAAGTTGGAACTGAATTCACTCATTTTATCCTTTGCCACCGACCGGAACAGGAATAACACTTTGGAGACACAAAACCTCCATCGACTGGTATGATTACCTGAACATGTAGGTGTTGTCTCAATTCCACTATAGTCACGATCAGGGAAACAGACTTCCAATGGGTTGGTCCCCCATGTTACCAAAGATCCTGCGCAAACATTTGCCGCAAATCCACAAAATCGTCCCCAAGTCAGGCGACGTTATGCCGACGAAGCTCTTATCATTCTAAAGAAAAACAGGTAGGTGAATTTGTCACTGCCTTAAACTCATCTAACGGGGGTGTACAATTAACGGCTGAATCTCATTCAAGTGTGGACGGACTGGTACTTTTTTCGCTGTTTGTTAGGCAGAAGGTATAATACAAAAGCACCTTGGAGACTACAGTGTACAGCAAGTCTACTAATAGGGGCCTACCTAACTAGTTTGCATTTTTACGCCCCATCCACATAAACAAGGGAGTAGCTGTGCGCCTACTTATAAGAGACTCCCGGTTACGTCTCGACACAAGAGCAGCAGAACCTCACCAAGAAGTAACTGCCTGACAATGGCTATCCTCTTGGCAGAAAACGTTCAGAAGGATAATCTTATGCGTAAATTTGCCTGTCTTGAATGCAGCAGTGTCAACACCAGATAAAATTCTTATAACAAGAAAGTGCTTATCGACGAGCAGCAGTTGACCGAAAAAGTGCTAAACACTGAAGTAAAGCGGTTCGGGCATGAGCAGCACAACATGATGTGGACTTCCAGCACCCCGCTCTTCATTCAGGTCAGGACCACTTAGAAGAACAGATGATCGTTGCGCAGGAGTAGTCGCAAAAGTGTACGCAGCAGTTGCTTCCTGCCGTTTCACAGCATGAATAAGGAATTATAGATACATAACAGTTCGGTTTTTTCCAAAAAACGGCAAGAAAACATAACACATACAGCCTAATCTGTCATGAAGACATTTAAAACCACTAGAAAAATAAACATGACGACAGTGCAAGTTTTTCAATAACAGACTAAGGACTACCATGGTAAGGCTAGGTTTCCCATGCAAACCACTTGCTTGCCCAGATCAGGCTTTTCCCCCTGCATGTGAGCAGACCCCAGAGAGCGTATCGCGGGAGTTTAAGTCATAGGCGGATCCTGGCTACTATGATCTTCAGGCTGGCTGCCAAATCGAAAAAGAAGTTGGACGCTAGCAGAGAGAGCATTGAATTCTGCACACAGTGAATGGAGAATACTACATTGGAGCAAGTTGGCCGCAAAAGCAGGAGTCTGAGTGTCATTGTGGTAGGCTTCGGAGCGCTTCGAGGGAGAACAATTTGGGGTCGGCACGCCTTGAGCTAGAGTGTACCCGAGTCGATCTTGAAGATGATTGGCCGACAATCAGACTGTCACTGGTACGCGCAAACTGTGCAGTGTCTGAGCCGTTAGTCTACCGGCAATCAGGAAGGCCAGTCTTGCGCCAACCCATAACATGAGTGTGATGGAAGGGCGGAAGATCTTGTTCTGTTACTCCAAAAGCTATCGGGACAAGTGCCCAATTGACCTGGCAGCCAACCGCCTTTGCGTTTGCCCAATATACCTGTATCCATACGCAAATAAGAATTTATAAAAACAATTTGAGGTGGCGTGCCTAGACGAAATACCCATCGCCGCTTAAACTGGGATGGTTTTCGTAGGACAGGCAAATATCAGCACGGTTGCATCGCTGTTCTTTTCAAAGGTACAACGCATTGGCCGCTTTTACCCCCTAGAGGGATATACGTCCTTCTGAGCTGTCATTTCCGACGCTTCTTGTAGCTGAAAATTACCATACTTTTGGAAGAGCCAGACTGACTAACCACGCTTAATCCGGGTTTCACCGAAACAAGCAAGTGCCGAGTACACTATTTCAATAGAGTTTGGACGAGGATTTATTTGCGTCGTATCGGTACCGAGCTAGTAAAATAAAGGTGTTTTTAGGGGAAAATAATAATGAGACAGATGATCCGGAAGGTTTTCCGTAATCCACAAGCTACTCGGAAAAGTATACAGACTGTTTGTAATGACTGGAAACCGAAAACAGCCGCGTGGAAGAAAAAACATGCTCAGGAGTCGAGAGATGTGTCGAGTATTTCAAGAGGGGAGTACATCAGAAATTAGATTCCACAAACTGAAATTGGACAGTCACTCCAGCTCCAATAAACCCTCACAAAAAGTCCCTCGGCAGATTGATACAGATGTAGCGGAGAGTAACTTACCGCCCGTTTTAAACCGGTACGTCGGGGAGAGCTGTGCTTCTGTGAGGCGTCTGCGGCCTCCATGGTTTGACTGTCCAGATTACTCGGGAGAAATCTTGTCAAGTGGGCGGTGACAGGTTTCAGCCGCCGCTGAAGAGGAGATGCTTGTGACAACTCGGCACCCAGTCGATTAAAGACGGATGATTTAGTGGAAGGTTTGGCAAAGTTGGTTGTGCGTACGCATGGATTTGAGCTACGGAATGGTAAAAGTGCAAGACGGTACACTAGTAAGGTCAACTAAATATCAAAAGTGGTTAAGAGAAATGCTAGATCAAAGTGTGACCATCTGTAATGGCAAAGTCAGTAGTATTCAGTAAAAGACTGCGTTGGGCAGTATTTCCAGTTCCTTCCTTGGTAGTACCTGGCACGACAGCTGAATGCAGAATGGGCCAAATCCTTGTACACCTTCCGAAACCTCGCGGAAAAGTTATGGAACGGAAGGGTCTGTTACGAAGTTGTGGGGACTAGAGAGCAAAAAATGGCCATGATCAGTCGTCCTACTCATCTTGAAGTCTTCGTGGTCGTCATGTCAGCGGTGGTAACTGGTAACAATTTTTACAGCCTGAGTCATTGCAGGATGGGTATTGGAACTAGTAGGCCAGGAGAGGTCAACTTAGTAATTGATTGCAGTTATAAGAGTCCAGTCAATAGGAACAGCTATTCGGTCCATAAAATATCTGGGTGAAAATGGTGAGCTTTTTCTGCTCTGTACGGCTAGGATAGATCACAACGACGTACGACGCCGTTGCCAGACCGAACTCAGGACCAAGAATGTGTCCACGAGGGACAGAGACCCTAGACCATGTCAGCCACTACATCTGATCGCATCTGCGGTCGACTTAGCTCAACTTTGACGCTGGTTTGTGGGAAGAGAAGAGAAGAAAGAGTAAGGGCCATCGTGCGTGAACAGTTCCTACAACAAACAACCTGATTGGCTTTTGAGCTAGCATGGCGGCCTAAAAATCATGGTTGGGAAGGTTACTAACTGTCAAGGTAACCGGATCGTCGTGACTGTGGTCCAGATAGCAATGACTCCATTATATTACTCCTAAAGCCATTCTTACCGAATGGACGATGTTTGGTTTAGTGGGTTAAGGGTCCAGTATTCGTGTTCTGTGCATCGAGTACAAACAGGAATGAGTAGGTGGTCATCCTCTCTTAACAATCCAATCTCGAGGCGCCCTTACCTTGTCTTGGCACCTGAACCTGGTGGGTGTAGGAAAAAAAAGCGGGGTGGATGCTATGCAGCGACCCCATTAAAATTTAATTTGTGCGCAAGTCACTACTATTTTTCTCTTCGGAGGAAGTTTTAGTCCCCATCGTGTGCGTCGGACGAGCTGGTGAATGAGTGGTGATCTGGTATTTATGATGTGGACAAGAAGTTGAGTCTATAGCCTTTGCCCGATTTTCCTAAAATCAACGTTGGGAGTTTCCGCATTATAGAGAAGTTCTTTTGATTACAAGCTAGGGCGATGGTTTGTTTTTTTCTGTGGGCAACGACCGAGAAATCAGGTGAGAAACACGCCTAAAGGAAGTCGGCGCCACGTACACGAATCTTTCGCCGACCTAGTCAGTCGATTGAATGGGGGTATGGCTGAAGTCTGCCAGGCAGACTAGGTACTATGTGAGGGGTTCGCACTTAGTCTAGTAGGTTGCCTTTAGATTTTATTTGAGTTAACATGGGCGTTCAATTTTTGCATTTCCTGGTCATAACAACAACCAAACCCTGAGGCACTGCATTGCATTATGGTTGAAAATTCCATTTATACTTTCAACAGCTATGGCATAAAAACGCAAACTCGAAAGCTAAAAGGGATCAATACTGCGGGTAGGAGAGGGAACATGGGTGAAATAGCGGGCAACCAAGAGGGGATGTCTGATTCAGCGCGAACCAACCTCTGTCCCGGCCAAAGATAAGTCTTCACTCATGGTATATTAATGAATCGAATGGAACATTATTCCGCAGACGGCTTCTTAGAGATGGCTAGTGGCGATAAACTAACATGGTTTCAGACTGGAACATGTCCATCCCATCTTGTTCTGGAGTTCTACTGAAAACCTCCGATCGCGTAGCGACAGGTAATGCAGGCAAGACGAAAGACAGCAGGGCTGAGAACCCGTGGCTTAATGAAGAACATTTAACTTGCTGTACAATTAACCCAAAATTATGATGGCGTACTCGTTCCCACGTTCTTCGGCCTCATTTTTTGCCATACTAATTGATGCTTACCATGGTAGGCGGCTTGAAATCGGCACAAAACTACAGACGCGTCGTGAAACTACCAAAAATCGGACATAGCCATATCGAAACAATGACTCCAAGATCAGGATTAAAGGCATTTTACCCGCGAGAGATTACGCACTGAATACCACAACCGAAGCAAACATGCAACGGAGCCTAAAGCGGGCTGTCATCTTGAAAATTATCCTCTACGAGGAAAAAAACGCTGACGTTTTACTAGAACATGATTAGAAATTTCACCTAGGCTGTCTTAGAAAGGTAGTGAAGGCGAAATGACGGGAATAGATTGCAGATACTATGTCGCTGGAAAGAACTGGTGAGTTCAGCATCTAGGCCATCAATACGGCGGCCGCGACGTGAGGGTGGGGGATGAGCACCTGTCCGAGTAACTTCCATGGTAACGTTTAAAATGACATTGAGCCCGCGCAGCATCAACTGCACTTTAACGTCCCTCACCCACTTGAGTCTGGTGTCAAGATAGAATCAATAAGACCGGAAGCTAGATCGGGTCCAGTCACTGACAAAGCTAAACAAGTCATCTGCGCATGTCATGCACGCCTGGCTCGCGTAAAAAGGACCAGGTTTCACAGAAACAAGGGGGCTCGGATCCCAAGTAAGTAGTCGTGGAATAGTGGCCACATTGTAGGCCGACTTTCCATCCTGACTGACCGAGCTATCCCGTCAGTTGGTACCCTCCCAAGCCATGGATTTCAGCCCAACGAAGTAGTTTAAAAGCATGATTGCTTGTGGTGAGGAACATGCGTTGGGCACCGTCTCGGCATACAAAGGCATAGAAAGGTATCAACGGAACGCGGACAGGTCAGGAAAATGCCCTAACTTTTCCATCCTTACAGGGTTTTGACCCGCCCTCCAGGGAAAAAATGAAATGCTTAGAAGGAGTAACATGCAAAATTCAAAAGTGGCTGCTGTCTAATGTTTCAAACAAACCGGATAATGCTGGGAGAAAAAAGCAAAGCGAGATGATCGAATAAAATAGAGTGAGACAACAAAACCGGTTAAGGCGAAAATGACACAAGCTAGACCAGAGTCGTCCGCAGTAGCAGCGCACCTCGATAGAATGACCTCAACATCTTCCGCATCATCGTCGCTTCCATCAATGTCTGTGGGAGGCTGTGCGACAGACTCCGGCTTCGAGGAAGAAGAGACGGCATTTAGGATGACAATTCTAGGCGGGGAAGTCTCCTTGACAGCGGAATCGGAGGAACCTACAATGAGATGATAAGCGAGTAAGAGAGCCGGTGACACGTCATACGAGCGGGTGACATGTCCGCGTTGAAAGGCGGAATCGAAGGCGTATGTGAGCGAATTAAATTGGTCGCAAGGTACACACAGGGGACTGATTCTATCAAAAAAATGGCGTAGTTTCATGTGAAACCCGGTGCAACTTCACATGCAGTCGATGGCGTAGACTGAATCAGCCTGATGAACAAGTCCGTGCGTTTGTGTGTGCTACTTTAACAGAAGACCGCAAACTCGGGCAAATGAGCGTGAGCAAAGACAGCAGACTTGGAACTATACTATTCTATCCGAGTACGTGAGGTGAGTTCAGATAGGAAGTTCGAGAGAAGGGCTTTTGGACTGGCAAACCCGCAGAACTATTTTCCCTAAAACGTAGGCGAATTTTTTATGACAGGCAACTCCAAGCCGCAAACAAATACACAGGAGGACCTGTGAGACGCAGCCACTTTCCAACCATCGCGCTGCTTCCTAGATATGTGTTACTTTCAGTGCACGGCACACATGGACAGGCACGGAAGTCAATGTAGCGAATTTCTAATACTGATATGGAACCCTGATAGATTTATAGTGGAGAAAAACAACTCACACAGTCAGCGGCCGACCTCATGAAATGTTAACAGAAATTTTGGAATGCGTTTTCAATTAGGAAGGATTACACAGGTGGGGCTTTAATACTAGCTATCTGGAGGCATAATCCCGTGGGTGAAACCAAAACAGAAATAGACGGAATGTCGACACAGACAAGGAGGACCGGAACTCCCCGGCAAAGTGGAAAGAGCGTATTCACCGGATCGTGAATGTCTGCTCCATACAAATTAATGTACTTGAGTTTAAATGGAGGCGTAGATATGAACGTGGAGAAACTACCCTTAAAGGATTATTAGAGAGTAAGCACTGCCAACCTAGACGTTTGGCAGTATGGTCAAAGCTCCCTTGCCAGCCCCACCAACTGAAGTCGCTGCGCCTTATTGGAGAGCTGGCCAGCCAAACCCAACACATCATCCTCATTTCTCATTTACGACGAGGGCCGACAGTTTCGAAAGAGAACTGGAAAACAATCAAATTTATCCCACAGACAATGTGTGAGCGATCTCATGAAATGCTGACCGAAATTCTGAAATGCGTTTTCGATTGGGAAGAATTACTTCACTGGGCTTGTAATATTGATTATCATGCAGCATCACCCTATACAACTTCGGACTCGCCAGGATGTCGGCTTTCAAATGCACTCCTTTTCGACCTCCTGTAGAAACCACACCCGTCAAAAAATGACAACTTAAGTAGCATACATTTTTCACACTGACTTTCGATGGTCTTACGAATTCCAATATATTTTACAGAAAACATGCACAAAGCATGCTTTCTTTTACTCATTTGGTAGCAAATCATACTGCCTTCACATTTTTATACACGAAGAAAGGGCAAATTTAGGCTTTGAAAAAGTTGCCAAGTTTCCGAATAAGTTTGAGCGTGATCAGCCGTTGCATTAGCGTTTGACGATCTCAGTCTACAATGTGCATGCTTTCCGCGTAAGGAAAATCACCTACTCATCTATGCCTTTAAAAAGATATCATATTGAGTTCATAAAACTGTGCAATGGATGCGAACTATGTTGTACATTTAATGAGGAGTATTGGTAAACGGACAGGTACGATGCTGTATGAATGGACACTACACAGTCTTCATATGAACTAGAGTCTTAAAAAATGTCATAATTAGAAACTTTCAGAAAAGGAAAGATGTTCTTTCCTAGGTATCAAACTTCGTAAAGACGCAATCGGATAATAAATGAGTACAAGAAAAAATATTTTGTGCATGTTTTCTATAAGATATTTAAATTTATAGAACCGCCGAAAAATAAAAAGTGCATACTACATAAGCAGTTATTTTTCTACTCAGTGCTGTTTTTGCAGGCAGCCGAAAACAGGTACACTTAGAAACCAACATGCTGGCGTGTCTGAAACATCAGGGGAGGGTACAGTAAGATAATTAATATCACAACTCCACTCAAGTGGTCCTTTCTAGTCGAAAACGGATTTCCGAATTTCGGTCAATATTCCATGAAAACGGACACTCGCTGTATGCGTTAGGATGGTAAAGTTGCTCACTGAAGGCCTCAAAAGTTGCATTATGCGTCGGTTAAACATATTTATGGAGGGAAATAGTCACCGTTTTTTCAGATTCGGCCGAGGAAAAACACAAACTGAGTCGGCTCTCGTCTGCGATATTTTACAATGAAGCCTCTTCAGATAGAACGCTTACTAAGGAGCATTTTCTATTTGCTGAAGAAGACACTGATCGCGAGCCATCGTTCTTTCTCTAAGGTAGTTCTTTTTTATGTAAATCAGAAAAAACACAGTCAATTCACCGCTACGACATTAAATTTCGAGAGCCGTGGCCCTTGATAGATCAGGTAGCTACAAAACACGGGAACTCCATGTCTGTACAGTTGTGGACGATGCGCAGGCTACGACACCTCAGTAATCAGGACTTTCATACAAGTTTCAGTATAGTTTGTGAGTTTCAGCGCATATTGTGAGCTGCAGAAATTGCGAATTACTTAAGTTAGTTGAAGGCAGCCTAGAAAAGACTGCACTTTTCATGTTTTAGGTGAACTGCGTACAAATATTTTAATAATCAGTGAGAAGTCGCCTGCTTAGGACTGTGTCTTGGTAACTTGTCAGACTGAGAATTCATCAGGGCAACTAGGACGAACCGAAATAAAAGCAGACCGCAGTACATGAATAAGAAGACAAAATTACTTGCCTAATTTCACTTTTTGCAAGATACGTCTCGTTTTTTCTGTTGTTCCCTGAGGCAGCTTGACTTTGTATGTGCCTTCAATTTCGCGGGAAACCGTACGCCTTTCCGGGACAGGCAGCTCATGTCCTAAGCGGGAGAAATGGCGACCGTTTAGGGGACGGAGCCTGTATATACTTACCTGGAGGCACTCTGGGCTTCTTGACGTCCTTATCCAAATGTGGCGTCGTTGAAGAAACAGTAACGGCCGCTTTCAACTTAGTTGGTTCCTGTAAAAAGAGTCTGATTCAATCCAGAACCGTTGACTAACTTCATGCTTTATCTTCTTGCAGTGTTGAAGGATGGCTATAATGTCGCCCACGGCGGTGATACCAATCTCTTTGAGAAGGTCCTTGTCCAGAAATGGAAGGAGTTTTGTTGTCATGCGATTTTCCACGAACAGGTGGGCGTACTTTTGACCAATTCCATGAGGTAGCCCGGCATCCGTGAAGATCGTAGTCCAGTATGTCAAATCTGAAAGACCGAATAGAAGAAGACGCTGGATGGGACGATTTCTACTGTAAGAGGCTTTGGGGAACTCGACCCTGGGGATATTATGGACTGATATTCACACCGTCGAGCTCAATTTCTCGTCACGTTTCGCGCCCCCACAACACGGCCGAGTTTAGAATCGTCAGTACTTTCTTGCCCCTTCAGTAGTCAAAGAAGTTATTGCTTTTTTAGCCAGTGCGTCAGAACTGCATAATTAGTGGTATTGAGTAAACAATAAACATTACGATATTGAAATGTTGGAGGATGAAATAACCCCACTACTGAGCCCCTCTGATTATGACCAGATTTATGGCAAAATTTCAAGAATATTGATCAAGTCTTAAGAAACACTACGAAAGAGTTATCTGCCATTTAAACACTATCCCAAGATGAGTGAAGTGGACGAGAAAATTAAACGAAAACTACTAACCTGTGTTCCCTAGCCCAGTACCAGGTTCATAACAGTTCACGAGGACACATCTGCAAGCTAAATGTAAAAACTTATAAGGTAATCATCATCAGTACTCCTGTTCTTATAGAATGCCGGCTCAAAGTGCTTCGACTGAAGTTGCCACCACAACAGCCGCGCAACTACAGGTATGAGGGAAGAGGCGAAAATACCAGTGGATCCTCAAATGGAGGGTGCACTTGGACGCCTAAAGGCTGGCTATTCTGCACAGCTACGTGTGGTCAGTAGCGGAACTAAACGGATCATTTTCACGATTCCGTCACTAACGCAGCCTTATATTTAACAATCCCTTCACTACATTGAGCCAGACGAAGTCCACGGCGGAGGTTTCAGTCAAAATTGATCAGGTAAGCCTGGGACATACACAGTGAAAATAGCTCACAAGAGGCCACGGGTCACGTTGGGAGCCAGTGCAAAGAAACAACCATTGACACAGCTGCTGAGTGAACAATGAGGGGGTACACCCCCCGCCCTAATCGATCATGCTTAGGAGTGTGGAAGCCTATGTAGTACCTATGGGCACTTTCAGGAAGACGAGCTAGCTGTTAGCTTGATGCTGGCTACTCACAGGTGGCAGACAGTGAAAATGCCTTCAGTGAAGGGTAGCTGCGAAATAAGCACTCTCGGGTCTGATGAATAAGCAGTCGTGGACCAGCAGCAACAATGCTGTGTTGAAGGTTTAGGGCTGGCACGACGACTACCCTACAAAATGCCGCAAGCCACGACTACGGCAACTCCATGAGTTATTTAAGGAAACCTGGGTAGATGAGTGTATTCTCGATATTTGGGGCTCGGGCGACCCTGCAACCGTCTTCAAGACAAGAGATATGAGACAGTGCGGGAATTTTTGTGGTATAAGCCTCATCCAGGTTGCTGTGATTTTCACTGTTGTCAGTCTCGGGCGATTTTGGGGTGTGAGCGACTCGAGGAGGAGACACAGGTGGGCGTGGATGAGCCGACCAGGTATTCGCCACGCGGCGCATTTTGGATCCCCCCATGGCTACCATCAACCGACGGCCATCCACTTTGTTGGTTCCGTAGTCGCCGCAACAATGTCGCGAGGATATTTCAGGTCACCAGAGAAGGACGACTTAGGTGGTTTGGACACATTCTTTGTCGTCCACCCCATAAGCCTCGATCCCCGTCATTGCCCACCGGGAGGGGTCGAGGGGGAGGGGACAAATTAAAACCGGCTCGACGCAGTTCGCCAAGACGCAGAAGTGGCAGTTAAACTTTCCGTGCTCGGACTCCGTCGTTAGAAGTGGGAAGGGGTCGAGCTGTCTATGTCCGCTACGATGGATCGTTACTCATGGAGATCTGTAATCTGCGACATCATCGAAGACGACTAAACCACGCATGAGCACAGCTATACCAGGCACAAGTGCGTTCCAGGAGTGTTGTAGCTGACGGCAAAAGGACAGTTGATGACAGCGAGCAGCCTGCGTGAACCCAGCTTTCGGGGCTGCCGCGCATTGGTTGCTGTATTCGCTGATTAGCACATTGGGAAGGCAGACCGCCACAGGAATAGGCGTGATATATTCGTTAGGCCAGGTTTCTGGTCTGACGTTGCACTGGCCCAGAAGTTAGATTAGCAGCGGCAGAATTAGCTCGAGAGTCAGAGTTGGATGCGTCAGTCCGAAATGTGCTAGCATAATATGAGCAGGCATGGAATGTCTGGTTAGCGTTCGCGACATGCCTAGACATGATTTCGACATTGCTGCCGGTAGTGCTGCTATGCATGCGAAGGTGACCCACGCGACCGAGACCAGTTCCGAATGTACGTTAGGAATAGGTCAAGTAGGAGGAAGCTAGACGTTCTTGCGTACTTCATGCTTGCGTTCTTTACACCCCATCGACCTCCTGTGTTCAATAAGCTTCGGAGACTGCTATGCCACATTAATACACCGAATTTGGCGGTTCTGCCAAGGACCTCCCAGGATTTGAGGTTGATTCTAAGGCGCCTTAGCGGCAAAAAGGTGTCCTTGTAGTACTACTTCTATTATCCTTGACTACGAGCACATACGATAAAGTCACAGTACAATTCGCTTCGGCAGATGGTTATCAGATTAATCATCTGCCTGTGACTGATTCATCAAACCTGAATTCACTTCAACCCTGAAATGATTCGGGGCAACTTGTGCATCCCCCCAAAACACCCACAGTGCGTGACCGATCTCGTGAAATGGCCGAAATTCTGAAATGCGTTTTCGATTGGGAAGAATTACTTCACTGGGCTTGTAATATTGATTATCATGCTGCATCACCCTATACAACTTCGGACTCGCCAGGATGTCGGCTTTCAAATGCACTCCTTTTCGACCTCCTGTAGAAACCACACCCGTCAAAAAATGACAACTTAAGTAGCATGCATTTTTCACATTGACTTTCGATGGTCTTACGAATTCCAATATATTTTACAGAAAACATGTACAAAGCATGCTTTCTTTTACTCATTTGGTAGCAAATCATACTGCCTTCACATTTTAATACACGAAGAAAGGGCAAATTTAGGCTTTGAAAAAGTTGCCAAGTTTCCGAATAAGTTTGAGCGTGATCAGCCGTTGCATTAGCGTTTGACGATCTCAGTCTACAATGTGCATGCTTTCCGCGTAAGGAAAATCACCTACTCATCTATGCCTTTAAAAAGATATCATATTGAGTTCATAAAACTGTGCAATGGATGCGAACTATGTTGTACATTTAATGAGGAGTATTGGTAAACGGACAGGTACGATGCTGTATGAATGGACACTACAGTTTTAAAAGTCTCATAATTAGAAACTTTTTGAAAGCAAAAGGTGTCCTTTCTTTGAGCATAAAGTTTAAGGACAACGTGGTTTGCTACCAAATGGGTAAAAGAAAGCTTATTCTTGTGCACGCTTTCTGCTAAATACATTGGAATTTGTAGACCATCGAAAAACAGTGTGAAAAGTGCGTGCTACTTAAGTAATCATTTTTAAAGAGTGCATTTTCTGCATGAAGTCGAAAAGGAGTGCATTAAAAAGCCGACACCCTGGCGAGCCCGAAGTTCTATAGGATCATGCTGCATGATAATCAATATTACAACCCAACTGAAGTAACTCTTCCTAATCGAAAACGCTTTTCAGAATTTCGGCGAACGTTTCATGAAATCGGACACTCACTGGAAGGTGGGAGCGGTAAAGCGTCCACGCTTGGTCTGATAAGTTGTCTCCACGAGGTAAAGTCGGCCGAAAGTCCGCTGACTGGAGATTCTGGTTGCAATTTTGTTTTGGATGTTGATGCTTTTTGAGTTGGTGCTTCCAAGATATGAGAGTTCGCCCACAGCGGTGGATCGACTGCCACTGACGATTATTGAGAATTTTGTAGGTGTATATTAGTGCACGACAATTATTTTCCATGTTAAGAGTTATCTTAAACACAGCGAAAGGTGGATTGATCTCAGTTTCATCGCATGTTCACTTCAGTCGTGGTATTCCAAGCACAATCATCATCAAAGATAAGGTTGTCTGTCTAGATCTCAGAAATCTGTGTGACGAGGTGCATACGACGGAGGTTGTTTAACTGCCTGTCGATTCGCCATTTCATGATGCCTTTGAATACCTTTCCACGGCAGACGTTAACCAGCGCTGTATGAAACATGGAAATGAAGAGGATTGAGGTAATTGTATGACCTAGCATAACGCCCCTTGTCACAGCGAATCGTTCAGCAAGTTATTCGTATTCCGTGAAGAGCGCAATCATGCCATCATGCAGTTGCCCGATCAGGAAATTCAAATTACACTAAGATTTTACAGTGCATCTTGGCTTCGTAGAGCTGGTTTATTCTGGTATGTAGGCACTGAAATTCTTCGTCACTGATGTCTAACCAGTTTTGATCTCCACGTGGTGGTACGAGGGGCTCCGGAACAAAGAAGTAGGTGGTATCCTTGAGTCTATTTGTTTGCTCTCAATATCGTAAATCTCCATAAATTGTAATTTTTTGAGATTGGCATGATCCTGCAAACTTCTGATATGGCTCGGTATTACAGTTTTCAGCTTTTTCATGGTTGATCTTGCAACCTAATTTTTAAGACAACCGAGCAGTGATCGGCTCAGCATTCGGCACAAAATGTAGCTCTTGTCCAAGCTCATCATGACAGTCTCTCCCTTCCATTGGCGAGTAAGGTGAGGGAGAATACCTTCACAAGGTCTCCTTGCACTCGCAAAGGCAAGACAGTGTTGGCTGTGACTAAGTGTTCTGCGCAAGTCTTCAGCAGTAAAATAACGTTGATGTTGCAGTTTACTATTCCCCGCTATGCCGATAGCGTGGTCAATGGCTACAGAGGGGCTGATGGGCTACGTTAAGATGATTAGCAATAGGACTGAGCGCAGTGGCTAGTTGACCTAACCCTCGTCTATGCGCGTCCTACTCCATAAACCTGACCACAAAGACACAAACACTTACTGAGGCGAGGGACACACCAGGTGCTCCCATCTGGTTTAGTCTGCCAGTCCAAGTGATTGCCGGGGTTAACATATGAAAGCCGCCTGCCAGATGGGGACAACACAGAAGAGTCACCGAGAGCGGCGAAAAACTCGGAAGACTGGCAAAACAGTAACGTGTGGTCCCAGACCGAACACATCATATGCTTCAAAGGGTAGGTAGAAAACACAAGAATGCGAAAGGCCCTAAACAGTCGTTGCCCAAAATCTCTCCCTCGTCTTGAACGAGACAATTCACACACTACCATAGCCTCACGATGATAATTAAGGTTACCTAGTAAAAAACGAGTCGAACGATCTTGTGAATTTAGTAGGGTTGCTGGAAATTCACAGACCCCGTCACACTGGAAGTGAGGAAGAAGTCGATAAAATGCTGATTTCATGCGTCTATCGACACAGCGCAGGAGTTCTTAGAACTCCCGTATCCGCCACTGAGGAAGACAGTGCGCTGCGCTTAGCAGATGGTCTCGCGTGGAAAGTCACTATACGGAACATTATTGGGACCAATTAGATAAGGGATGATCATAGATGCTCCTAACTGAAGTTATGTCAGTTGGTAAAGAGGTCAGGCAAATCTCAGACCGCGGGACAGAGCTGTGTGCAATGTTAAGACGTACGGAATCCTTCATGACTCCAGCTGGCCACCCGGACGTCGTACGCAGCCATGACCGGGTTCGCCTTGAATCAGTGTGGCATGACAAAACTAGTTCGGTTGAAGAGTAGGGTGTAGTTGAGTACCTGTTTCTGACTGACCGTACTGTCCTGTATTGGGAAAGAACTTGAAGACTACAGCACAGTTATCTGCGGGTGGGAATTTCTGGTTGGGTTTATTCTTCTCAGGACACGTACCATGTCTCATATCCGTGCAGGAGGCTTACACTGACGAAGGACATGTATGTTGGCTGTTTGGTTGACGGACTGACTTCACGCTGATCCCAGAGACTTCGACGTAGTCTGACGAAGGCTGCGCGCACCTAGTAGATTCTGTGGTCGACCTGATTCTTGACTTGGGCTCTCGCAGAAAACTCGATTTAAGAAGGCAGAAGCCGCACAATTTCTGTGACCGGGCACGAAAGTCGACGGACTACGAAGTGCGAAACGAGCATCCTCATCTTGGAGATAATTTTCAGAAGCACTTCCGCTGCTTTCATATATATCTGGGACCGCACGCTACATATCATAAAGAAACTTCGTTGGCATCGAAGAATCAGCAGTATATTTCAATTTCGCAACGCACAAATCCCGACATATTGACACATCAGAGCGGTCCGCTACCAAGTACGGCCGATTACGTAGAAAAGCAGAATTGGTAAGAGGATATGTCCCTGACGAGTGCCTGAAGCGGTATCACATAAATCCCTCCCTTCGTCTTCCACTCGGACCTTTGTCCTCGTTCTGTAATTGAGGACAACTACGAAGACTATCAAAAAAACTAACGAAACTAATTTCACGGTTGATTTAACATAGTAATTCGTTACCTTCTCTAAAGATCAGAATTATGACAGCGCCGTTTCGGTGCAGAGATGAAGTTTCTGCTTCCCGAATTTGGGTCAAAAGGCCACTCCACTGACCAGATAACAATGGCGGACAGCGTTTGCGAATTTCCGTCAGACGGCAGCACCCATGACGTTCTTGATGCGCTCATCAGTATATATTAGACTGCAGCTACAATTATACTCGAGTTCCGAAGCATCTTCGAACCCAACAGCTATTAAAGACGCCGAACAGGTGTCATGTCTAACACTGATGCTATCGGCGCACCTTGGTTTCTATCGATCGTTAAAGTAGATGCTCTAGATGGTACTCATCATCAAAATCACGTAAAACCTCCGTTTATCTTCATTAGATGACGCGCGTGGAAGATCTCGGGCAGTTTTACTTCAAAGTTTGCTGTGCTTGTGATAGCATAACTGTAGGCACCTTAACTACAGGTTGTCTCGAATACGGTCGGCCCTTGACTCATCATCCGGTTGGATCATCTTAGCAGGAGTTCAATCTTTGAATAAGCAACTGACGTGACACAGCACGTTCTCGAAGCTATCATTGGAGAGCATGTCTCAGTCCAAGCCCGTTACTTTCTTCAAGGGCGGCCGCAGAGGCAGTTTTCGTCTGCGTCAGTTGAGCAAAGAAGCCTGAGGTATCCAGACAAAAGGCGGTGGCGGAAGCTGAATCAATGAGACGAGTGACATCATATCTCCTCATGTCGGGCCTTTTAAACAGCATGTGCTTTGAGACGTGATGGATCTCCCCCAAGAGCGTGGTAAGTCATTCTACCTGTCGGTGCCAAGAGCATACATCGCGCAGAAGTACAATACTACGCTGACCGATATTCAGACAATGCGATCTCTATGGTGTTAACTATTTGAGTGTCAAGTCCTTATATGTATCCTAGAATGGCGAAAAAAGTAATAGTGGCGGATTAGTGCAGCGAAATTACCAACCACAAAGGTTTTACACTAAATAGTGGTTACTGATGCCTTGCAATGCGCCAACCTTCTGAAGCCCGGAACTATATCTCCCGCAACGCCAATGGCAACATCATAACGAAGACGCACATATGTAATCCTTGGCGAAACCGGATACTGGTAGATAAACGACGACTTCAACTAGTTTAAAACAACGGCGGCACCACGTTGATCAACGCCGTGATTGAGGTGACATTTCCCGATACATTGCACCCTAATGTTGCGCTGGGCATGATCTGGTCAACGCATTTTAGAACGGCAGGAGGCGTCCACGGTCCACTGCGCTAAGACCTACATGGTTTAGTACAGCGTTGTCAATCAAAGGAGAATTATCATATTTCGGTGTGTGACGACAGGTTGCACGTTTAGCGTGCGCCCAAGAGGAGTGGCGCATCGGCTCTCGCGAGGGCTGCGGCACGAGTCGAGTAGTGATGTAGGGAACGTATGTTTGCCGACGCGTCGGTATGGTGCAATTTCGGTCGCCTCTTCCCGACTAAGTATTTCAGGTCGCGGTGGCGAGAAAAATCAGGGTTGTTCATGATTGTCTGGATACAATGTGAAATCGAGCTGTATTGAGCTTTATAGAGTATTCTGTTTTCCAGACATCAGGTCCAGGGTCTTTTTAGCGCTGTCACTGATAGTCTGTGAATACCTACTTGCGATATCTAGGTGCCTGCATAATCCAGCACCGGGTGTTCGGCGGTTAAATCAACATATGCGGAGAACACGGCTTCTTAGTCACTGTTTTTAAGGCCTACATTATTGGCGCCATAACTTCACGTGGAAATGGAAAGAGTCTACAGGTCACCGTAAGTCCAACGAGGAAAGCTAACTTCAGCCATCAGCAGAGATGTTTCGGTCTATCAGTGAGAAGACCAAGTCGCAAAAAGTAATAGCTAACAACAATTTCGTACTAAAAATCAAAGACGACGCCTTCTTCGTGAGCCATAAGTACCTTTGATCGGTTTGCAAAGCCATGAAAAAGTGTATCGAAATTCATCGTACGCCAGAATGCGGTAATACCCGCAATTTTCGAAGATAGCCAGAACCGGCAAGTCAAAATGGAAGGAATCGGAATGTCTGAGATGATAAGCACATTCGAATTAACGTAGGTGATGACGGAGTAAGTATGGATATCTATACTTACGAAGCATATGGGCTCCGATATACTCTTGCTACTAGAGGTGAACTCCGTCTGCTGGCAAAGACATAAAGTATACACTGTTTGGGAGAATTTCGCAGACACTTGTCTTTTTAGTAAGGCAGAACAACATAAGATATAACTTTCTGGGACGTAAGAAAGCAAAGTATGATCAACAGGTTACCCTCCATCACTGAAGGCCTGGGTAGAGTGAATGACTCGTTTTCTCCACCGCTTTTTTAGCCCAGTAAAAATTGACTGGCAGTCCCACCTAAGTCTTCGCCCTTTGACTGCTGTATATCTATCAGATTAAAGCCAGTGAATTCATCTGTTTGCCACCCAGCCATAGGATTTGCAACGGTATAACTCTTTTCTTAGAAAGATTTCGGCTTTCGTACCCGGTCTTAGCAACTGCGCTCTGTACAGGAGTGATGATTAAGATAACCAGAAGTGCGAAAGCTCACAAAGAGAAATGTGACGATTTAAATAATCAAAAGATAGACACGGAAAGGTATGCAATGTTCGGAGAAAACAGATCGTCAGAAAGCACCAGAAAATACCGTCGAAAACGTGGACAAAAACAGAACAGAAGCGTATGTAGTCGTTATCTTATATGAACTAGTCCCGAACTAAAAATGCCATCAAAAAACCCATTAAAAAGACAAGAATAGTCTCTAAAACAAGTTGACATGATGACATTAGGCTTTCGCTTGCTGTCCACCACATATCCTAAATAAGACAACATACATGATTGTTACTTAAGAAAGAGGACGCCTTAAATGTCTGCCTGAAACAGTATTTACAAATGACTTAGTTCATCTTCCCACTGCTCGAGATATATAAGATGTTCCATTTGTGAATTATGGGTTTCTCTAAAATAAGACAGCTCAAAGTAAAGCTGTTGCTTCCAAGCTGATGCCCGAAATCATGAGCAAGATCGAATCTTTTACCAGACCTCCAATTCCTGAACCTTCTCATGCCAACACATGGATCCGGGGCCAATACGGGGCTAGACGGGGCTACGCACTGTCCAAATTTTTGTGAATTTCCACCCTTTTTGTGACATCAGTCTGCATTACATCGGACAAATTTCGCTCTCTTATCCTTATTGATTATGCCCACTTAACCGCTGATAGCTTCAATGATTTCCTGTCCAAAACGTTTATTGAAGACTCGACCACTCCGCTTCCGACCATCCAGGCATTGACCGGGGCAGTTCTAGAAACTATAACTTTCACTCTGTGGGATGTGACTGTTGGATTCGGCCTTTTCA